TGCGCCTTATACACCGGAGCGTCTTATATTCCGAAAAATACGGTACTTATTGCCGTTAGTTCATATTGATTACCGTTAACGACATCCTTAAAAATACATCATATTAAAAACTCTGTTAATGGACTGAAAGGAAATCAACGCTTAAGTTAATTTTGGTATTCATCTCCTTTACCATCATTAAAGAAGTATAGTAAGTAACTAATCAACACTACTCATGTCATTAAGAAACTGATATCTTTCGTAACTAATCCGTTCATCGTGCATTGTGAGAAAGGGACATTGCTGTACGTATCACCGAAACCTTTCATAACTAATGCGTTCATATTAGATTGTAAGAAAGGGGCATTGCTGTACGAATCACCGAGACTTTTCATAACTAATCAGTTCATATTACATTGTAAGAAAGGGCATTGTTGTACGAATCACCGAGACTTTTCATAACTAATCAGTTCATATTACATTGTAAGAAAGGGCATTGCTGTACGAATCACCGAAACCTTTCATAACTAATCCGTTCATAATTATAGTATTTTGGCACTTGTATATAAAATTAAAATCGTAAATAATATTCAACGTTAAACTGGTACACAATTAAAAACATTTTATTTAGATTGTGAGAAATGGGCATTGCTGTACGAATCACCGAGATCTTTCTTAACTAATCCGTTCATATTAGATTGTGAGAAAGGGGCATTAATGTACGAATCACCGAGACCTTTCACAACTAATCCGTTCATACTAGATTGTGAGAAATGGGCATTGCTGTACGAATCACCGAGATCTTTCTTAACTAATCCGTTCATATTAGATTGTGAGAAATGGGCATTGCTGTACGAATCACGAAGACCTTTCATAACTAATCCGTTCATATTACATTGTAAGAAATGGGCATTACTGTACGAATCACCGAGACCTTTCATAACTAATCTGTTCATATTAGATTGTGAGAAATGGGCATTGCTGTACGAATCGCGAGACCTTTCATAACTAATCCGTTCATATTACATTGTAAGAAAGGGGCATTACTGTACGAATCACCGAGACCTTTCATAACTAATCCGTTCATATTATATTGTGAGAAAGGGGCATTGCTGTACGAATCACTGAGACCTTTCTTAACTAATCCGTTCATACTTAAGTAAGGAAGCACATTAAACTAATATATGGTAGGCAAACGACGATATATAAGCATAAGCAAAAGTTTTATTGATGATGGTACATACTACATGTTTCGACAGAACATTGGTCTGTCTTCTTCTGTAGTATGTTCCACCATCAATAAAACTTTTCCTTATATTTATAAATCGTTGTTTGCCTACCTATTATTAATCCATTCATATTACATTTCGATATGACCATTGCCGTAAAATCGCTAATTCAAATACACAATTTTACAGTCAGTATTTGATAATTTCTGATTCCGTAAATATGATTTAAATATTGTTTTGTACTGTGTCAGAACAAAGTATTCTGTTTCAAATTCGTACGCCCCCCCAGTGGCACAGCGGTATGTCTGCGGACTTACAACGCTAGAATCCGGGTTTCGATACCCGTGGTGGGCAGAGCACAGATAGCCCTTTGTGTAGCTTTGTGCTTAACTACAAACAAATTCATACAACCTTAGAATGAAGAGAGGGGCTACAAAGAGTTTTTTTCATTATTCGTTGTAGATCACATCGTATAAAATTCACGTTAATGTTTTGTGTGATCGCGTCTCTCGTGAAAAAAAAATATGTATAATGATATAGAATTGCCACTGACTCAATATAAATATGTTTGGTGCAGCAACTTGTATACAGAATATTTCATTACAGAGATCATCGTATCTGTCACGAACTTATTTCCCTGAAAGGGGGCTAAAGACCGCCTGGAGGTGGTCACCTGTTTTAACCAATACCACCACTATACACTAGTGTGTTGTCTGTCAGTCAGTCAGTCAGTAGACACTAAGGAACGCTTAACGTTGCAAATTGTACTGTCGTGACGTCAGAAAACGTGCGCATGCCATGAATCACGAGAAAAATTATACATTCTGTAGGCTACGACACAGCATGGCATATGAACTTCAAGAGCAAGAAATAAAAATATTTGATACTCTTAATTTTGGTTTTATTTACTCTTGAAACAGAACATCTTCGGGGACTTTGCGGAAGTACATCTAGTTAATTTGGATTTAATCTTGTCTTGTGGTATAGGGAGTCGGAGTATACCATATTTATGGCTGGGCTCAGGGTGAACCGGCAGAACGCTAAGTTGTATAATAACGTGGGTCATGCTCTTGAAAGTCAAGACAAGTTTCACGAAGCCTTGGAATACTTCCTTAAAGCTTCTAGGTAGGAATTTTATATCTTTAAACATACTTCTTATTTTCATTATCATGTTAACATTCAGTGCTAAGTTGAATAATTTTTTGTATAATACTTTACGAACCCCCACACTCCCAAAACAACAACAACAATCGCAAAACCATTTGTATTTTCATAGATCTAGTAGTTTCTTTTAATATAATATTTTATTGTATTAGCAACATGTATTATTAATATATTACAAATAATGTAAACGAACCACTGTCCATAAGCAACTACAAACTTAAACTAACCACATTTTAAGCGAGAAGTAAAGATAATTTATACTTTTCATTTATTTATTTTTTCTTGCAAAAAAAAAAGGTAATCAAGCATGGTTAATCAGAATACTTATTGAATTTGAAGCTTCCTATGAAATAAAAAGAACTGTAGTGTCGTGCATATAGGTAAAAAAAAACTTATTTTTATTTTTGATAAAATGCATATTTTATCTCAGGATAATCTTCATATTACGAATTATGGTTGGGAAAAGCATATCTTGTATCAGGATAAGCTTTGTATTCTTTAGGACTATAACTAGGGTTAAAATAAATAGCTATTGCAATTGAAAAAACACTAGCAAGCTGTTTAGGAATTTTCTGTTATAATAGTTTCTTTACTGTAATATGTATATAATTTTCACGGAATACTCTTAGATTCTCAATAATTTAGGATAGAAAGATGTGGAGAAATAAATTAAAAATTTCATTGACGTAATATCAGTACACAGTATGAAGATACGGTATCAAGAATAAACACCAGAAACATTGAATAAGAAATAATGCATAATAATACGACTTCTTAAATGATCCAGCGAAAATGTCGTTGTTGATATTCTCAAATCGTTAAATTTTTTATTCGTGTGATTTTATAATTATCTAGTAATTGTTTTCTTTCGAAAAAAAAAAATCTACCAAATAAACTCTTGTTTTTCGTTGAAGTTACTTGTTACTGATAGACCCCAAGTTATATCCATATCACTAAGTAAAATATTTTTAAACAATTGTTTTATCTAACATCCCAATGTTGGCTACTTCTGGCATGTACGCTTCCTTCCAAAAGTAATATATAACTGGTTCTGTTAAGTAGGTATCATAATGTTTTACTTTGCATACCAGAGCTCAACCAGATGACATTGGAGCGCATATAAATGTCGGAAGAACATTCAACAACTTACAACAGTACGATGAAGCAGAGCACGCGTTTTGGAAGGTAAGTTTCAAAAGACATTAAGTGCTGTAATCATATTTTATAAAATAAAAATTAGCCAGTATCCGGTCATTTTACCTATTTATTATCGTTGATGTTCTGTTATATCATTCCAGATTTTTTAAAGTGGGGTATTGAATTTCTAACGTTATGTAGATATTTCCAGTTACGTTGATATTATCATGAAAGATGTACTCCGAAATTATGTTTATTTCATGGTGTTTGAACTGTTACCAGCGACAAACCAATTTCCAGGATTACGTTGATATTATCATGAAATATGTACTCCGAAATAATGTTTATTTCATGTTGTTTGAACCGTTACCAGCGGCAAACCTATTTTCAGTTACGTTAATATATTCATGAAAGATGTACTCCGAAATGATGTTTATTTCATGTTGTTTGAACCGTTACCAGCGACAAACCTATTTCTAGTTACGTTGATATTATCATGAAAGATGTACTCCGAAATGGTGTTTATTTCATGTTTTTGAAATTAAATGTTTATTATACGGGGAACATCTTGAAACTCAACATTTAGTCGACTGTGTCTTGTATTTTGTCACATCAAAGGTGTAACTTAGTTAACTTATTTAGTGTATAACAATTGTCTTCTCTATTGTAGAGCAACTTAATTTAAAAGATAAATCAACTTTGTGTTGTTGGATTGTAGACGACTACCGCCATGTGTTTCACTATGACTTTTACATTCACTATTAAAACATGTAAAAACTAGACATTTAAAAATTGTCTCAAGGCCTACAAAGTGTATTTAAATATATACGTTCGAAGCATTGATCACCTATAATTTCCATTTAATTGACGGAATTATTTAGTTTTACGCGAAATTCAGACACAAAGAAAGGAAAAACGGCCAACATCAAAGGCGCCAAGGCCTACAAAGTGTATTTAAATATATACGTTCGAAGCATTGATCACCTATAATTTCCATTTAATTGACGGAATTATTTAGTTTTACGCGAAATTCAGACACAAAGAAAGGAAAAACGGCCAACATCAAAGGCGCCCACTATATTATCGCCACAGTCTATGCTTGGGTCCTACGTGGCGTAGTGGTCAGAGTGTTGGACTGAGGATCGAATAATCCATGATTCAAGATGCGATGCTACTGAATACCCTCCGCACATTTGAATAGTGATAGTAAATCCCGTTATTCTGTTCAAAGAACCGAACAAAGCTGCTGTGGCGACAGGTGCTTGTGTTTGTTTGTTACGGATTTCGCGCAAAGCTACACGAGGGCTATTTGCGCTAGCCGTCCCTAATTTAGCAGTGTAAGACTAGAGGGAAAGCAACTAGTCATCACCACCCACCGCCAACTCTTGGGCTACTCCTTTACCAACTAATAGTGGGATTGACCGTCACATTATAACGCCCCCACGGCTGAAAGGGCGAGCATGTTTGGTGTGACGGGGATTCGAACCCGCGACATGCAGATTACGAGTCCAACGCCCTAACCACTTGGCCATGCCGGGCTTTCTATGTATTAAATTTCCCTTTAGTAGTGTGCAGTTATTTTTGACCAACATTTGATAAATTGCTTTTAATTCTAAGCTAATTTAACTTAGTGTTCAAGTCTTAAATGATCTAGTTACTTTTCTTAAGCCTTTGTTAATGTGTGTCATTATTACATCTCATTTTGTCACATCAAAGGATTAAATTAGTTAACTTATTTAGTGTATTACATGTAATATGACATTCATTATATAGAACGTTGACTAATATTTGAAGTATATTATTTTATTATTATTATTATTGCTTCACGATTAGAATTAAATCAATGGCTTCCATAAAAAACAAACTATTTAATAAAAAATGAATTGAAAGTACAATTATGTACGCTGTTTCACGAGCCTGTTAAAAAAAAACAGGTCCCCTTGTGGGTCAGCGATAAGGTGATGAACTTGCAACGCTTGGATCCGGGATTCGATTCCCTAGGGTGGACAGGGCGCAGATAGCTTATTGTGTAGCTTTGCGCTAAAACAAACAAACAAAAAGAAAAACAGAAACATAATTTTAGTTCGTAAAAAGCGATAAATATACGAAGCGCATTTTATCGCATAAAATATTCAAAAAGTAATACATTAAATTAGTTAAATTTGTGTTAATACAACCAGAAGATGTGTTGAAGTTGAAAGGAAAAATGATTCGCTCTTCGTCATTCCTAGTCCTTACCTTGAGTGAAGTGAGGTTTGTGATGTGTATCCTATTTATAGGTTTTACGGATATATCCAGTTATGGCCTTAGCGATTTCAATGTCAACCTTGAATATTTGTGTATTGAATAAAAAAGTCAAAAGTGAAAATCTACGTATGTTTTCTATGTGTGTACAAAATGTACACATTCTCTCTCTCTCTCTCTCTGTGAGAGAGAGGTTTATAATGAAACACAAATGTTAGTTCTGAGCCTATACTGTTGTGATTGGCATGGTGTTAACCTCCTGTTGAAGCCGCAAGGCAGCGAAAAGTCGAAATAAAGAATGTTTTCACTAAGAAAGAAACAAAGATGTTCATTGCAGTTGAAGTATTGTTGCTTGATGTTTAAGTTATGTCGGTTGAAGTTCCGGAACACGACTATTCACTAATGATGTCAGAACCAGACCATTCAACTCTTTAGAGAAAACTAATTTACTTTCTTTGTTTTATATATATTTTAGAATGTTGTTGAGATGACATTTATCAAAATCACCTACAAGTAGTCATATACGTCTTGTTCTTTGTTAACCCCATTAACCATTCTTTAAAGTATTCTAACTTTGACTCTTTTATTCCGCTATTTGAAACACAGTTAAGAAGATTTTCGTGTTTACTTGTTTTTTTGTACTACAGCATTTTTTTACACATTAAAAGGAAAAGTTGTTAGGTACCTGTTGTCAATAACAAGCGTTTATTAAGCACCAGCATAAATGCTTTGATTTTCAGAATTTCGTCAAAGCTACAAAAAGAGTCAATTGCGCATAGCCGTCTCTGCTTTGATACGATAGATTAGAGTAAAAATAGCTAGTCAACAGCACCCTCTGCCAACGCTTGGGCTACCTTTATGTGATCGAATAGTGGCATTGGAGAGTCACACATATAACACTTATAGCGCATCTTCGTCTCCAAAGTGCAGAGTACGTTTCAGCGGCAACAGATCGTGAACGTGAATCCTCCAACTCGCTTTCCGGGCACACTGACCACTAAACCATGCCCGGGCACATCGTAGTTACTAATAATATTTACTGCCTGCTTCATATGTGTTCTGGATGTCAAGTTTAACTGGCCGCATATGCAAATGTTTTTTTTGCCAATAATATATATATAACCGAAAATGAACTAAATAACATTTTCCTTGTTAAAAAATTTAAACGAAATGTTGAAATGCAGGCGCATAAGTGAATAATGTTACAATAATAACAATTAAAGGACTGTTATTATTGTTGCCAGGGTGAATAAAAATTTTGTATTGGCAACTCCTAAATACTTCAGGATAATATGTGTAGCTGCATGATATTTGCAGTGAAACGTAGAAAAACATTATGATTTTTGTTTCTGGAAACTTGCTTCTTTGACAATTCCTGTTATATATTTAACGCTTCTTAAATTCTACCGTTTGTCAATGTATGTTATTTGAAGTAGATTTCGAAAACATCATTAAATTATTACGCTTGGAGTGCTTCGTTATTACTTAAATATGCTTTCGTGATACGTTGTTAAGGTTTTGTTTGTAAAGCCATAGAAGATTATACTTATATGGCTTTTTTTTCTTTCTTTTTTTTCAAAAGACTTCGTGACTTTGAGAATAAATATATCACTGGCTACTTTGTTTGTTTTGGAGTTTTTGTGACGTATCAGAAGGGTTTTTTAATACTAAACGTACCCACGCGATGTAGATTTAAAATGCAATTCTAAAGATGCACATTATAGATAATTATGACTAACAGACCTGAAATCAGCTTAGATTTAAACATTTGGTATTATTCTCTTATTTGAATAAGATTCTCATTATGTTTTGTAGGGCAGAAAATAATTTCTTTTATCGATTGCTGAATATGATATGCTAAAAGCAGACTTATTTCTAGATAGGCTGCACCATGAAAGTTCTTCTCTAGCACACAACTAATGTGCTGATAAACATGTGCAAGAAAAAATCATGCAAACATACAAATTGAAACATTATACAAATTAGAGCATCCTTTCATAAATTCCATGCATATACAGTATTTTAGCAGGTCTTAGTTTTAACTGTTTCTAAGCAATTGATGTGTTTGCTTATAAGCCTATTATGTTTCAGTACCGTTAAGCTTATATAATCAGTTTATTAGGCTTAATAAAGAGACCGGGTTTTAGTAATGTTATTGTAATTAGCAGTAGTTTTATTGGATATTTATATGCAGCTTTTAATCATATACTTTCTTTTTATCCGAGAGATTAGTAATAGATTAAAACATACTTTCATTTTAAGTGTTGAATAACAACAGAAAATACGAATATATTTTTACCTTTATCGTGGGAACGGTGTATATTAAAAGTACATATTATTTAAATCGTCATCTTTTTATTTAGATCATCACTATTATACATAAAGAACAGTTAATTGTCTTACTTCACTTCTATTGAAAATATCAATAATAAACTTTTAGGAGTTTAATTTTCATCACCTCTCTATCAAGGCAAAAGATTTGTTACCTCGACCTCGAGCCGGAGAGCCTTACAAAGCAAGAATTGCTCCCAATCATCTGAATGTCTTCCTTAACCTAGCCAATGTTATCTCTAGAAACAAGTCTCGCTTAGAAGAAGCAGATGCGGTAAGTTATAAATGCAGTATACTTTTTATGATTCTTTTCAACTATTTACAACAACAACAACAGACGTGTATTCTATTGTTGGGCGAGTTCGACTATTTGTTAAGAATAATGCCAAGTCAACGAATTAATTTGTTTCCTCTTTAACGTTTCTACAGGCTACGTATAGGCCTAAATTCACAAACAACGTTTCAACAGAAATTCTTCGCTAATGGTACTATGCCTAACTTACATTTACAGAATTTCTCTTCTAATCGATGGATGAACTTAATAGTCGTGTTAACTCTCACTACAAACACTGAAGTGAATCATTCACTAAATGCATCACTGAGTACTCATATTTTCAATGTATTCGTGTTACTCCGAGTTCCGCGAAATTTCTATATTTTACATCATCATGAATTTTATAGGTATTCTAGAACTACTTTTATGAACTTTCTAGATCTAACGTAATCATTGTGATTAATAGCTCCCCCTAGCAAACAATTAGATTATAATATTGAAGATAAAGCTTACAACAGTATATTGTAAATTTCAAGTACTGAGACAGACCACTTTATAATTACCTCCACTCTGAATCGAGTTGGACCATTTTTGAGGTATGGTCTGCAATTGGTTCATCGTTTTAGGCAGAGGATTACGATGCCAGATGCGATGTTCAAGCTCATCCAAAAATATTCAATCAGATTAAGATTTGGTGATTGTGTTTAGCCAAAGAAAAATGTTTTAGATAACTGTCTTTTTTTTCTAATTAACTTCCTACAGCCCAAATATGATGAATTATTCCATCATTGGTGAAGACAATCGACAACATTCGGATACGCTTTGGATTCTTTCTCCCTTATAAAAGAATCACAAGTTACAACACTTTCAATCAGAACGTTCTTCCATACTATTGACTGCTGTTTGTTGTTAGAATAACGCAAGCAAGTCAATTGTCTCATGTGATTTTTCCCTTAGTTGTACTAAGTATCACTACTAAAAACAAAACAAAAATAGTGAAACGTAATTCATCAGATCACATCTCACACTTTAAACCATTCATCATTCACAGTTCTTGTGTACCACCAAAATCACACTTCCTTGTTTTCAACGCACTCGGAACTCCTTGACCGATTCAGGTATCCTACAACAAACCTCGGATGTGTAAAACGAATTAATATGCAGGGAGTCTTTACATTTCTGCGCTGGAATAGACTGTATAGTCCTTACAACTAGTAAACTTTTCAAGTTTAACCCACATAATTTTTCTACTAATTTTTCTGTTTGCTCAGCTCTTAGGGTGGAGATGATGTTTTAGCTAGTCTCTTACTACGCTTATAACGTGGAGAGTAGAAATTCTCCAAAGTAGGAATATATCTTTGTTCGTAAGTTCCACGTAGGTCTTAGAGGCATGCTAGAGAGTAGTTTAACATGGATATCTACGTCATACATCGGCCAGGTGATTAGGGAGCTCGACTCGTAATCTATGGGTCGCGGATTCGAATCCCCGTCACACCAAACATGCTCGCCCTTTCAGCCATGGAGGCATTATAATGTGACGGTCAATCCCACTATTCGTTGGTAAAAGAGTAGCCCAAGAGTTGGCGGTGGGTGGTGATGACTAGCTGCCTTCCCTCTAGTCTTACACTGCTAAATTAGGGACAGCTAGCGCAAATAGCACTCGTGTAGCTTTCCGCGAAATTCAAAACAAACAAACGTCATACATCCGAGGTTTAATGTAGGATACCGGAATCGTCTGAGAAGTTCAGAGTGATTTACAACAGAGATAAATGCATTTTAGACTGCTTGTTGGCTGTCATATGCTAATTTGTGTATGTTCTTCCCATGATACAATAGGAGATAGTCTGTTACTGACCAGTGTTGGAGGAATCAATGAATTAGGACGTTTCTTGCACCTTAAAAACCCGTCTTGTATTGTTGTTTTTTGTTTGGTTAACTTTGACTGGTTCTATTGGTATACAGATGGCAGATGACTTTGAACGTCTGGTCAAAGAAACGGTCTTTGATAAGGATGCTCTTGTTAAACAAACGCAAACTATCATTTTCCCTTCAAAATCGTAGATATATTTATTCGCACTGTTGTCTTTTAAAACAGCCATACATTGATTACATCTCTGTATTTATTGGACTTAAGTGATCACATGATCAGTGTCCGTCGCAAATGCAAACATGTGTAAATAAATGGAGTATCGACAAATGTGTTTGGGGAGTCTTAATAAAGTATCCAGTGTGTATTATGCTGTGATTTAAATGTTATATAACGTCTTAATAAAGAATTATAGAACATTTATTATATAGTAGAACACGAATTCATTACATTAAACGTTTACAGAGTGTGGATGATCTTTTGTAATTATATATTGTATAACTGTGGACTGAAACGTTTATATCGCAGTTCATAACTCTTACATTTTGAAGATCGTTAACGCAAGTATAATGTACGTTGTTCTAACTCTGTTTACAGCTCTACAGACAAGCTATTAGCATGAGAGCTGATTATATTCAAGCCTATATAAACAGAGGAGATATTCTGATTAAACTCAACAGGTAATAATTCCATAGTGTTTGATATCAGTTTATACGCATGTCAGAATTACTGTTCTGTTGTTATATTATCGTAAGAAGATTAGAAGCGTTTGAAAAGTTATGTGCGTGTAAAGGTATCACGTTTTAATTGTTGTTATCATGGTATGAATACAGTAAGGTTGTACAAACTGCTGTACACAACCCTCTCTGTAACTCAGTATTAAACTAAAGTCATCTAACAAGTAATATTATTTTCTGTTCTATATGTAAGCTCTTCTTTCAAAATAGTTTTAATAAATTCACTATATAGTTTACTACTCATTAAGACTGCTTATATTTGTAATAATAATAAAAAATATTTTTGGCTATTTCTACCAGCTTTTAAGTAGTATAAGACACTGTGGTTTCGATCAAAGGCCTACTTCGGGTACAAATTAACGGTAACAAAGAACTGTTTCTTTTACTGTTAAGTTGTATTTGATGTATGCTTATGGCCGAAACGTTGTACAGTAAAATCATCTATGATAAGAGTGTTGTAAGCAGTTTCAGTTAATTTTCTTTTGTCTTGTCTTTCCTCAAGTTATGGTTACCACTCTTAGACAAGCAGTATATTTGTTAAATATTAGGTCGTCAAGAAATTGATGTTGCGTTTTGGAACACTTTCATTAAACCACCCCCATAAAACGTACATCACGTATAATAGTTAAACGAACAGCCTAAACGTCCGATGATCATCGTTTCCAACATGTGAACGTTGCTTCGTCACTTCTGGCGCGTAATGCCCGTGAAAAATTTTGGATAGAATTGTCACCGGTGATGAAAAATGGATTCTCTATGCGAATATTAAACGCCAAAAATAATGGCTCAGTCCAAGACAAAAACCATTTCCGACCCCAAAATCCGCAGAAAGTGATGCTTTGAATTTGGTGGGACATCAAAGGAGTAATTCATTTTGAACTCCTCAATCCACAGCGAACTGTCAATACAGAGATCTATAGTCAGCAA